GTTAAAAGCTTCCGTAAATGTTTTCAAACTTATTATTATCGGGTTGATCGTTGAGTTGAGGCTGGCCTAGTTTCACGATAGGCGCCATCACGACGAGTCGGGTTTTGGGTCGTGACACTCTCGATACGGTTGTCTCGGGTAAAATCATACCTTTCACGGTTCCCGCTGATAGTGGGACTTTAGATGTCGGACCAACGTCGCTCTCATGTATATCAATGGTCGGCTCATGATCATCCCTCAAAGAATCCACTGCTCGAACGGTTCCACTCACCAATATCCACTGATCTCTTCTTACGAGGAGCTAAGTCTCCTCGCTCTGTGATGGCTCATCTACCAAATGCAGCATAGGAAAAGCTGAGGTTTCCGATGTTGAAGCCGCTGCCGGTCGAGTTGGTTTAGCTAAGGTTGAAGGCCGAACATAGGAAGATGACTGGGCAGGCCTGGTCAGGGTCGCAACTAGGGCGGATCCCGTTGTAGCGGTAACTTGGCGAAACACAAGAGTAGGAGCTTTCAACTTCCTCGAACCTCCCAGTGCTAACAACAAAAGAAAGAGAAGAAGGTCGAGGTCAATCCCAGCAACAATAAAAAGTGACCAATCAGAAAGACAACAACGGAGACCCAAATTTAGCACACTCACTGGGAAGCTTGGGCCCGAACTTAGCACGGAAGGACGACCACTCGCGAATCCCCACCGTATGAGGAAGGATCCGACTAACCCAATCGTGAATATCTTCGATCAAAGGAGGGGGCTCGACCTCAGTTGCATGAAGAAAAGGTAGTCAACACAACCAAAGTCAACCAACACAAAGTACAATAAAAGGAAAGGGGAAGGACTCTTACGAGCGTAGTTCCAAAGTTCAGGGAACCCGCTTGAATTAATCACTACGTCCTCGGTCTTGAAGTAGAAGCAATTGAGCCAGAACTAACGTTATCCTTGTCGTCCATTTTTACCACTAAACATTTTCCGCCTAGGGCGAAGAGATGCATCAAGTGATAGAGGGTTACCTCGACCCCGGCCAACTCCACGAACTTCGAGATCATGCGAATGAGCTTGTAGATATATGGGGTAAGTTCGGCCGGTCACACTCGGTAATATCGGCAGAAATCTTCGCCCAGGGGAAGAATATGGAAAGAATAACCCACATATAAGGGGTAGGCATAGAAGGCTCAATACCCAGGGCGGTGTATTTGCACCACATCGTGCCCCGCAGGGATTAGGTCTATATGGGCGGGAATTTTGAATCTAGCCCTAAACTCGATAAGAGCCGCCTCTCTAATTGACGACTCCGAGACTTCAGGGTCATCCACAGGTAGCTTCCAGAAATTGGATCTAGTTTTCTACCTATGAGGGATTGTTTTCTCTACCGTAGGGAAGCTGTCATCCTTTGCGACAATGGCTGCCCCATCGTCATGGGGGGTACACGCACTGCCAAAGGTGTGGGGTCAGATACTCCCCAAGAACCAGAAGATGTGTTAACTATCTTTGTTAGTGTATATACAAAGATGATATAAGCACAAGAGAACTGTAAGTTGCAGAAGTCACCGAAATCAGCCAAAACAGAGACACGAGAGAAAGTAACAGAAGTAGAAACCCAAAATGAAGAAGGAAGAAGAAGACACAAATTCTCAATGTTAGGGAGAGCAAAGAGTGAGGCGCACCTTGCTATTTATAACAATCAGGGCATCAGTACCGAGAAAACAAACCGTCAATGCCCAACCAGATATCGAAATAATAGAGGCACGGGAACGACACAACATATCGGGAAAACGCATTATAATAACGCATGATGTCATTACGTCACTCTGAATTGATGTAACCATGTGTTATGGCTCACAAAGCGCCACGTAGCCACCCCGTGCAGAACGACACTGTTCGAACTGCCCGCCTAAATATCTCGACCACGACTAACAGAGTCCGCTTATCGAGGTCGCCCAGAGTCGGCCTCAATAAATGGAGGGACTAACTGTATGGGTCTAAATTTGACTTTAAGAGATTAAACACGAAGTGGTGTTACGAAAAGTAATATGGCCGAGGTCGAGATCTAAATAGTGGGGCTCATAGCCGAGCAGCCGGTAGCGGTCGTGGTTAAGCATCAAGAGTAGCAGCAAAGACTAGTTTTGCAGTAGGATCTTTAGAAGAATATTCCATTGAATATTCTCTGTACTTGTACTTTTAGGGTTGATTGGGGGTATGTCCCATATAAATAGAAAGAGAGATAACATGAAAGGCATGTAATATTCTCTGATATTGGGGCAGTATTTCGTACTAGTCTAGTCAGTTTAGTGGGCTTGTAGTTACTATTTGCTCCCTTTGTTGTGTTGTGTGGTGTTTTTTCTCCGTTTCATTTTGATTGGCCAAAGCGAGAGAGAAGAAGGCTCGCAATCTGGATCAAGTGAGGTGTATCAAAGACGAGGACGGTCGAGTATTGATGGAAGAGGCCCAGATTAGGCAAAGATGGCAGTCGTACTTTCATAAACTTTTGAATGAAGAGGGGGATGGAAACATCGTGTTAGGGCAATTGGGGCACTCCGAGAGTCACCGAGAATTTAGGTATTGTAGGCGCATTAAGGTTGAGGAGGTCGTAGGTGCGATGGGTAAGATGAGTCGGGGCAAAGCGACCGGACCTGACGAGATTCCAATAGAGTTTTGCAGATATGCGGGTAGGGTAGGCTTGGAGTGGTTGACTGGGCTGTTTAATATTATCTTCAAGACAAAGAGGATGCCTGATGAGTGGCGGTGGAGTACAATGGTTCCGGTGTACAAGAACAAAGGGGATATCCAGAATTGTAACAACTATAGGGGTATCAAGTTACTAAGTCATACCATGAAAGTCTGGGAGAGGGTGGTGGAAATGAGGATAAGGAGGGCGGTGTCTATATCGGAAAACCAGTTCGGGTTCATGCCGGGCCGTTTACTACGGAAGCTATCCACCTTATCAGGAGGTTGGTGGAACTATACAGGGATAGGAAGAGGGATTTGCATATGGTGTTTATTGACCTAGAGAAGGCATATGACAAGGTCCCTAGCGACGTCCTTTGGAGGTGTCTGGAGGTGAAAGGTGTGCTGGTGGCTTTCATTAGGGCGATAAAGGATATGTATGATGGAGCTATGACTCGGGTTAGGACTGTGGGAGGTGACTCAGAGTCTTTTCCGGTGGTTATGGGATTACACCAAGGATCTGCGCTCAGCCCGTTCTTATTTGCTCTAGCGATGGACGCACTGACACACCATATCCAAGGTGAGGTGCCATGGTGTATGTTGTTCGCTGATGATATAGTTCTGATTGATGAGACGCGAGGCGGCGTTAATGGGAGACTGGAGGTATGGAGGCAGACTCTAGAGTCTAAAAGTTTCAAGTTGAGTAGGACTAAGACAGAATATGTGGAATGTAAGTTCAGCAACGTGACGGAGGAAGCGGATGTGGAAGTTAGGCTTGACTTACAGGTCATTCTCAAGAGAGAAAGTTTTAAGTACTTAGGGTCAATTATCTAAGGAGATGGGGAGATCGATGGGGATGTTACGCACCGTATAGGAGTGGGATGGATGAAATGGAGGTTAGCGTCTGGAGTCATGTGTGACAAGAATGTGCCACCGAAACTCAAAGGTAAATTCTATAAAGCGGTGGTTAGACCGGCCATGTTGTATAGAGCTGAGTGTTGGCCAGTCAAGAATTCACATATCCAGAAGATGAAAGTAGCAGAAATAAGGATGTTGAGATGGATGTGTGGGCACACTAGGTTGGATAAGATTCGGAATGAAGATATTCGGGAGAGGGTGGGCGTGGCTCCCGTGGACGACAAGATGCGGGAAACGCGACTTAGATGGTTCGGACACGTGTGGAGGAGAAGCCTAGATGAACCGGTTAGGAGGTGTGAGCGGTTGAATTTGGCAGGTACGAGAAGAGGCAGAGGGCGGCCTAGGAAGTACTGGGGCGAGGTGATCAGGTAGGACATGACGCGACTTCAGATTTTCGAGGACATGGCTCTTGATAGGAACATGTGGAGGTCGAGCATTAGGGTGGTAGGCTAGGGGGTAGTCGAGAGTTCTTCCCTCTTTGTACCGGGTAGTCTGTTAGAGTTTTGTTAGCGGTCTTTGTTGTATTCACATTGGTGTTTTGCATAGTTTTGTTTTATTGTCCTTTCACTTATTTGTTGTGGTTATTTTCTTTATGGTATCTTTTATTGTTATATGTCTTTTCTCTTATTTCTTTTTTGATATTATTGCCTTCCTGTTGAGCCGAGAGTCTCCTGGAAACAGCCTCTCTGCCCTTTTCGGGGTAGGGGTAAGATCTGCGTACACTCTACTCTCCCCAGACCCCACTAGTGGGATTTTACTGGGTATGTTGTTGTTGCTGTTGTAATATTCTCTGATAAGAACATTCTATGAAAAGCAGACTTTCTTTCCAGATAGAATACAAACATTACCTTTCTAAATAGATTCGATTGTCTATTATTCCACACCTTTTCCATCAGATCCGAGAAGGATCCCTATATTTTAGTATTTGTCTTCCATCCATCATTGTGAGGAGGAGAAATCATCCACCGCATTCAATATTGGGTTAACTATTCTTCCTATTTACTTTCATGCCATTTATTGCTATTTATTCTTGCCATTCTCTCTTCACTGATGATCTTGAAACATTAAATACATGCTGCATTTAATCTGTTCTTAACGTCATACTACGTCACTCATATTAACCGATCATAGATATGAAGTTATTATCATTAACTAGGTTTAACCCTTCATTATAGAAATTTAATTAGTTTAATCAAATATCTACACTTTTTGGTCAAACAGAACCAAAATTGTAATGGCAAATACATGGATAATTCCAACTTTTATTGCGGAGGACAAAATTAGACCATTTTACATAGTGAAGGGACTAATTTTGCCCTTTGCACTATCATTTGGGACGGAATTTTATTCTACACTTATTTTTCTAATGGGGCCAGCCATGAGCCATGCGTCTCTAAAAGGTACTGGAAAAATCTCAGTAGCATAGATGCTACTCCTATAACATAGAACTGCACTGTGAGAGAAATGACATAACAAGGAAAGAGGGAAATTTAAGGGGGAAGATATGAGATATCCTAGTCCTATCCTTTTCTGAGACTAATTTATGGTCTCCTTGATAGAAAACACTGTACAGCAGAAAAAAGCATTCACTCTTTTACTGCAAAAAGCAAGCAGCCTAATTCTCTCACTGTATATAACACTGCTCAGACAGTGGTCCGGTCCTTTCATTTCTCTCTGATCTCTTTTAGTCACTGTTTAGTGTACGAAAGAAGCAAGCATTCTCTGTGGGCAGTTGTAGTTTTCAAAGCTTGAGTCTCTTCTCCTCTTCTTGTCTTGGTCTTTTCACGGCTAGGTTTATAGGCCTAATAACATTTATTATTAGTGAAGCTTCTTTTAGTTAGTTGGTATAATTGCTTTAAGTGGAAATGAAATGGCAATTTAATATTTTGGCGAATTCCTCGGGAAACAACTCTTTGGCATAATTTGTAACTGCTTTTTACTGCAAGCGGCAGTTGATATAATTGGAGTGTGGCATTTTCTTGCTGGGGATAAAAAAGGTTAGTATATTACTACATGCCAATTCTTGCTCATAAAGCCATAAAAAGCTCATTAATTTTTGGATGCATGTCCATTTGGCAAATGCTGTATATCTTCAGTTACATAATATTTATGGTGTGTGTATGTATATATAACTAACACAAGCACCTCCCTAACAAAACCCAAGTAACAGAGGACCTTGAAGTTGTTATAATCTTCAAGTCTTAGGTTGTCTTTTTTTTTTTCCCCACTTATGGTTTGCAAATTAGGTAGATTATTTTTGTTATTAATGAGATTATTTTGAATTCCAGATCATCATCAAGAAAATGGTGCCTGAGAAACAAGCAGAAGAGGCCATAGTCTCTGCAGTCCAAAATGAAACAGAGGCAGATGATAGACAAGAAGAAATGGCTATTAATTCAAATTTGAGCTTCAAAAGCTTTCTTTGGCATGGTGGTTCAGTTTATGATGCCTGGTTTAGCTGTGCATCAAATCAGGTAACTAACTAACTAACTTCCAACATGTTTATTCCATTTGAATTTCAAGTACTGTTAATCCTGATTTTTCTTTTGGTTTGTGGGGTTGCAGGTAGCACAAGTTCTTTTGACTTTACCATACTCATTTTCTCAAATGGGAATGCTTTCAGGAATTCTACTGCAGATATTTTATGGTATAATGGGAAGCTGGACAGCTTACCTCATAAGTGTCCTATATGTTGAGTACAGAAGCAGAAAAGAGAAAGAGAATGTTAGCTTCAAGAACCATGTCATCCAGGTCTATATTCCAAGATCCATAAATAAATTACTGTTGTAAAAAAAATGCTCTTTTCTGTCAAGAAATACCTCATCAATTGTATTTTTTTTAACAGTGGTTTGAAGTGTTGGATGGCTTATTGGGACCCAAGTGGAAAGCTATTGGTTTGGCCTTCAATTGTACTTTCCTTCTATTTGGTTCGGTCATACAGCTCATTGCTTGTGCAAGGTATGCTCATTCTTAAATGAAAAAGGGCAAAAATCATTTTAGCCCGTGGCCGAAACTATTTAAATACTAGACGCAAAGCCTATAAAATTTGTATGTATATCTTTATATATATTTTGAGAGTGACTATACAGTATTATTTTCCCACTCTCTATCCCATCCTCTTCAATGGACCCAAAAAATAGAAATTCTCATTACTATTTTTACTTTCGTCTCAAATATTTATCATTTTGATAAATTAAATTTATTTTAAAATATAAGAAATCATTTGTGCGTTTAATGGAGATGAGTGATAGTAGGACAAAAAATCTTATGATTAAAGCTACTTCTATTTAAATTTATTTTTAATTGTTGCATAGAAAATTTTTAAAGACACATAATATGAACAAGATCTAAGTACTAAGTATTATTTTTTGAATTTGTTGTTATTATGATGTATTAATAAATATTGTTGTTTGGTTAACAGTAACATTTATTATATAAACGACCATTTGGACAAAAGGACATGGACATACATATTTGGGGCATGCTGTGCGACTACTGTGTTTATTCCATCATTTCACAACTATAGAATATGGTCATTTCTTGGACTGGGGATGACTACTTATACAGCTTGGTATTTGACAATTGCAGCGTTTGTTCATGGGCAGGTACAATTACAACTAAAGTGCCTTTTTAATTTCTTTGTTATGGTCAAAATTCACATTATTACTGTGATGGCCAACAATCAATAATTACTTTTGACCACTTGATAATACTGCAGGTTGAAGGAGTTATTCACAGTGGCCCAACCAAAATGGTGCTTTATTTTACGGGTGCCACTAACATACTCTACACTTTCGGCGGACATGCCGTCACCGTGTAAGAAATGTCTTAATTCTCTAAATTCAATTCATCCACAACATTGAGGCCCATTCAAACTTTATTGGCGTCAAGGTTTTAAAAGGTTTTGTGATTTCATTCAATTTAAGTGTCAAACAGTGTAAAGTAGTTAAGTTGTCATTTTCACTAAGTGCCCGTTTGGATTGGCTTTTAAGCTCGTCAAATTAACTTTTAAGCTTTTTTTTATAGCTTTTTTAAGTGTTTGGCAAAGTTAAAAAGTGCTTAAAATAAGTTAAAAACTACTTAAACAAACCAAAAGCAAGAAGTTGGGCAACCTTAACTTATTGCTTTTTGGCATAAACAACTCAATTGTATTTTAACAATGTGAAAGCGTAGAACTTAAAACGCAGTTCAATAATATGCATTCTGAACATAAGTTTGATGTTATATTTTCCTTTTGGTACAATAGGCTTTGCGATGATTGCGCCAAAATTATCCTGCTCTGTGAGTTACATAGCAGCAAGCAGTTTTTGGTCAAAGATGTCACTGAATGCTAAATGGTCTGTGTTTTTAAAGGACTAAACAAGACTCCTAAAAGTTGCTTGCATCTCATGCATTTTGTCCCTTAGTATAATTCATTCAGCTGTTGACAAGATTTATGAGTCAAACATTACTCACTGCTTGATGCCTTTCTATTGCCTGCAGAGTAAATCCCGTAGTTCGTGTTTTATAACATAAATATGAAGTTCTGCTAGTTTTAGATTATATAGTTGGATGATTGGGAAGTGGATTTGACTTCAACTCGAGGTTTTAAATAATAGAACTGTTGGGATATTCTGCTGAGCATGTTAGGTACTATAGTTGTTATGGTAAAAAGAAAAAAGGAGAAGGCATGGAAGAAAAAGAGTGATACTAATCAAAAAGTCTTGATTTTTCTCTAGGGAAATCATGCATGCAATGTGGAAGCCTAAAAAATTCAAGTACATATATCTGTATGCTACACTTTATGTCTTCACATTAACACTCCCATCAGCAGCAGCTGTCTATTGGGCCTTCGGTGACCAGCTTCTTGACCATGCCAATGCCTTCTCTTTACTCCCTCGAAACGGTTTTCGCGACACAGCTGTCATTCTAATGCTAATCCACCAGGTATCTGTTCATAATTATAATCTTATAAGTACTGATTAAGTTTAGTATTATGTTACTTTTCCTGGTCCAACCTTGTGAACCTGATGTGATAATTGGCTTGTAATCTTGCAGTTTATTACGTTTGGATTTGCTTGCACTCCTCTGTACTTTGTTTGGGAAAAAGTAGTGGGCATGCACGACACGAAGAGCATATGTTTGAGGGCATTGGCTAGGTTACCAATCGTGATACCGATATGGTTTTTGGCCATCATATTTCCATTCTTTGGGCCTATTAACTCGGCTGTGGGGGCATTATTAGTTAGCTTCACCGTGTACATCATTCCTGCTGCTGCTCATATGCTCACTTACAGGAAGGCTTCTGCTCGACAGGTATGTATTTAGTCTATTATCTTCCACCTATTCATCTCATTTCTACCTTATGACTTGCTGGCATAAAAAACAATAACATAACTTGCTGGCTATCACACTCCAATAACATTATTTATTGCATTTCCAAATGTGATGAGAAATAGCCATGACAATGATGTATTTTGCCAGGGGTGGAGTTAGCATTTGAATTACGGGTTTGGCCGAACCCACCCAGTAACTTCGGTCCAACCCTTGTATTTGGTGCAAATTGTTGATTTAGAACCTAATAATTTAAATGAACTAGAATCTCGAACCGATAAGCTTCCGCGTCTGTTAATTTTACTCAGTGAACTGCTTAATTTGAATTTTTCCTGGGAGCAGAATTGTGAGAAATGACTGAATGCTGACTCGGAGCATCTCATGCCAGCTAGGGAGTTGGGCCCTTTTGTAATATACCTGGGGCCTCCCCTGCTGATCACTACATTTGGTTGTCACACTCACTGATTAGCCTTTTGCCTTTGTTGGCTAGATACTTCAAAGAGGCTGTCTTCGTTTATTTTTGTACTGCAATAATTGGAAGTGGAAATAAAACTGCATTAATCACTTTGAAATTCTTTTTTTGTTCTTATGAACAATTATTGCATTATATATAAGATTTACTAAATAGCAATATCTAGGTTGTGTGTTGATTTTTCAAAAGATGGGGCAGCAAAAAGATTTAATGTATTGATTGAAAAAGTCTCTCAATAATTTTATTAAGCATAACAAGACTTTAAATAGCCAATTAGGAACAAAAAATAAACATAATTTAAAATATCTCAACTAACTTTAACAATCTAATAGAAATTTAAAAATTGAAATTCATCCCAAAACCAAGCAACTTATTTTGCTAAAGAAGTTACTGTAGTAATTGAAAACAACAAAATTTCAACAATGTGGCTATGGCTCCAAATACTTCTAATTCTACAAGTGGACCACCCCATTACGCTTAAGTACTGCAGTTTGATGTACCTAGTGATTGCAATAGTTGGTAACAATTAAGTTTTTTAGACAAAATTGGTGGGATGTCCTTGTCATTCGATAGTTGTATGTTGCATTCGTCTTGGGATTGTTCAACCCACTCAACCTCCTGACTACCTACCGATGGTGGTTTGGATGATAAATTTAAATATTACTCCCTCCGTTTCAATTTATATGGACCTATTTCTTTTGTAGTCCGTGCCAAAAAAAATGATTCTAATTCAGAAATAATTTACCTTTATGCAATGATTTATAGCAACACAAAATTTATGTGTCTCATTTTACACCATTAGTTCAAGAGTCTTCTTTCTTTTTTAAACTCCGTGCCCAGTTATATGGATTCACATAAATTGAAACGAAGGTAGTAACAATTATTGCGTTGGTAAGCTGACTTAGCCTAAAAATGATCAAGTCATTTTGTTGACTAATTTTGTACCTTCCTAGTGTGGCGAATGTATTATCTAAAACTACTGAGTTTAGAGCGAGTATGAACTTATTATATGTATGTATAATAAAAGCTTTTTGTATATGTGTACATAGTTCAAGTCAAAAGAAATGGACTCACAGAGCCACCAGCCTTAATTCTGTCTCTGCTTTTGATATTGACTTGACTTGTGTTGTTTTATGTTGTGGATGCAGAATGCAGCTGAAAAACCTCCCTTCTTCCTTCCAAGCTGGACAGCGGTATATGCAGTGAATGGGTTTGTGGTGGCATGGGTTTTTGTTGTTGGATTTGGATTTGGAGGATGGGCAAGCATGACCAATTTCATTAAGCAAGTTGATACTTTTGGCTTGTTTGCTAAGTGTTATCAGTGCCATCCCCCTGACCGAAAGTAGATTCAATTTCGTTATTTTTTTTTTTTTCCGAAGTTGTAGAAGCAATCATAGTAGCTTCCTAATATCTGTCATGCTTTTGATAACTTTCTTCTGTTCAGTGTTTGTCATATATAAATATAGTCTGGAGATTATGTCTTTTTTCTGGTGAAAGAAAGTCCATTGCAGATATGAAATAGAACTACTCAGTTATTTTGCATCTCGACAGAACTTTAAGAAAACCTCTGTTGAAATAAGAAATGCTAACCTCTGTTGGTGATGCTGCAAGTTTATACCCTTAATATGTCTGTGGTTAGCAGAAGTAAACCTTCTAAGCCGGTGCTTTTTGGCTTGGGAATAGAATTCCATAGTAAGAGAGTTCAATCTTGATATCTCGAACTGTCAATGGCCTCTACCCGTTAAAAACCATGTCATAATTTTCCAAAGGCAAGAAAAAAAACATTAATCTGTGATGCACTAAGCTGCAACATCCAACTAAGTCTTTACACTAGTAGATGATGTCCTACTCAGAAATAGAGTTTATTGTAAAACTTTGATACAGCACATTAGAAATAGACTTCTCATTCACCTTCAAATTGCAACTGCTACACTTTAAACCAGCTCAAGTGCACCCGGCACCGCAGCTGCTACACTTCAACTTCTGCAGTTAACTTTTAGATTTGGTCGCTCCTATTACTTGGCTGTATTTCAAAGTCTTTTACAATTATCGGAATTTCATAATGGATCTGACTAAATTAGATATACTACTCAAACCAAACATTCCCTCAATTTATCCATTCGCAAAATGGTCCTCTTGCAGAGAAAAGTTAATTAGGCCAACATATACAGAAAATTATACACAAATATAACATTTATCCTATAGTTGAAACGCAATTACTCCACTTAAAACTTAAAACTTAAAACCCCCATCTGATGATGTATAGGGTAAAATTAGCAGATGACCGATGGATGTTCGTCAAGTGAACACTTGAAAATAAAGACACGTAGAAGATGAGTCAGCAAATAACTGACACCGGATCTAAGCATGTGGCTGGTGTTGCATGAGTCCTAATGTCATCAAGACTTGAGAGAATAATTTGAAAGCAAGAACAAGTTGAAGAAGGCAGCATTAAATGAGCAGTCGTTCCAGAGAATTTTAGTATTTACACTCTAGGGGTCTTTATTCACTTTAAAGAGGAGCTTGATTTGGGGATCTTATCTTCCCTAATTTAACTATAAATAGAAAAATTTGTATTCATGGAAGGACATGAAATACTTGTACAAAAAAGGCTAATATTACTTTCTGTTAACATCATCTTGTTAAGCTCTTTGTTATTGATATTATTTTTGCTTTCAAAGAAGTTCAATTCAAGGCCAGGCTCGTATTTTCTTACTTTTGTTCTTCATTACTTTATATTTGTGGATCAAATTAATTTACGTGTCTATAAACCACGTAACAAATTCAATTGTACCGTTACAGGTAAATAGTTTGGCGCTCACCGTGGGACATAGACAATTGTGGTATTACTTTGACCCATTCATCTTTTACTAACGCATTTTGACGCTTTTCTTAAGTAAAACAAAAACAGATATGGTACATAATGATTTCAATAACTCACTCAATGTTAGGACAAACAATGAGCACGGGGATAATTTTTGTCGTGGAGATCAATATGATGATTCGACTAGTGAAACCCGCATTGATGAAAATGAGACGACCCCGTTCCGGAAAGAATGAAATACTCGGCACGCAAGGAGTCCTACTCCTGATGATATGGATGATGAACCCGTTGTCAAAACGGTAAAAGTTTTGAGAGCACAACAAAGGAAAATCATGAATCATCTCTCAAGACAAGACTGGATAATGAATGAGCTCCAGCAAGCGCTATCGGTTGCCTCAAATAATTCCGATGGAGGAGTTCGAGCCACTCCCAGCGGGCTTGCAAATCAAACATCACAAAGAACCGGTAACATCACTTCAAGGGACGAGTTCAGATCTAATGATAATCAAGCAGGTGGAGCAGACAATGGATTCGAGACCGATAACAACACAAATGATCCTTTGGAAACCGAGCTCATGGGTTTCATGAGGGAAATAAATGATCAAAACGCTAAATAATTCCACGTTCAGATGGATCAGATCTTGGGGGTGTCGCGCCCCCTTTTTCCTCGCGGAGTCCGGGTTTCGACATTCATTGGGAACAACTCGTTTCCTTTTGGGAATTGGGTATTTGAAGAGTCGCCACCTAACGGATTAAGGTGTGTTAGGGCACCTAGCGCAATTAACTCATATAACTAGTTTGCATTGGCAGAGATTAGGGTAAGGGCTCGAAATAACCTTGAGAGGAAGGTGTGAGGCACCCCTCGTAGTCCACAATGGTGGGTCCCGGCCGAACTCAGTTATGTGAATTAGTCATTTAACAGGTAAGCAGTCTAAGCACACATATGCAAATAAAGGAAGTTTAGGTAGTCTGACCACACATATGTAAATAAAGGAAGTTTAGGTAGTTTGAGCACACATATGTAAATAAAGGAAGGGAAGTCCTAAGTTGGTTAGCCTATAGGATCACATCTGTACAATACCTGGTAAGCCTTCCTCAAATAGAGGGGTTATACGTGGCATTAGCGCACAGGTCATCATATCCTTTTACTACCCATTACCTTCCCCTTAGCGGTTATTTAAGCGAGTTTAATTAACGAACTCTAAGCGTGCTTTACCAGTCCCTTCGTTGTGGTCCTGGAGGTGTTTAGGACCTCTAAACTTAGGCAGTACTAGACCCTCCTAAGGTGTTTAAAAGGTAAAATCTAAGTGACAACAAATAACATATAGGACTGTCAAATAGGGAAGCAATTAAGGGGCTCATGTTTACCTCCACACATAAACAAATAAGTAGCACATCTCAAACAACAGATTTTAAAGAATTTCAGAAGGTCCTAGAACAGGATATCTAGGTGAGCATCACAAACATAGAATATGCAGCATGCTGATTTCAAAAAGCTGATTTCATGCATATTTATACTAGGACATGTTATCTGTGTGTTGGGGTTGTCTTTAAACCTCTTTATAGATAATTATTTATTTAAGCGACATAGATACGATTTAAAGTAAATGCAAACAGAGTCCTAAGGCAGGATTTCTAATGCACAGAGAGAGATGGTTATTTTATTAAGCATGATTACAGCGGTGACTTTAACAACAAATTTCCGGGTGATTATGACTTGTGCAGGAACATAGTTTTCGTAATAATAGAATGATGAGCCTAGAACATATTTTCTAATAGGAAAAATCAGTAAACATGATTATCCTAAGGCAGGACATCTAATGCACAGATTTATGGCATAGTTTTTAATACAAAAAACAGGCATAGCAAACCTAGAGGAATGATATCTATTGCATAATTTAAACCTAAAGCATGATTTCTATTGCAAATCAACATAATATAAACCTAAAGCATGGTTTCTACTGCAAATCAACATATATATAAACCTAAAGCATGATTTCTACCCGGTTTTCCCACAAAATCGTATAGGAACCCTCCCCTTTTACTAATTATCCCAATATTTATTTACAAAGAATATTATTACAGACCAAGATCGAATGAATTACATAAATAAATGTAAATTATACTATAGGGAGCGTGAATTAGGCCCAAAGTAAACCTAGGGATGCCAGGCCTTCAGAAACAGTCTCAGATGCCAAGAGTCTCACAGCCAATAGTGTGTCCTGGTGTGTCAAAGTTCCCTAAGGACCTCAAGGATCCCGGGCAGTGCTCACACCAAGACCTTTTCTCAAATGGAGGATTGGTTATGTGCAGTGTGGAAGGGCCAGCCCCAGTGTGCCAGAGTTCAGTGGAATCTCATGGATTCCTAAGCAGTACACACACTGGAGGGGCAGAACCTAATAGTCTAAGAGTAAAGTGAGAGTGTTTGACATAGTTTTGAAAGACTTAGTAAAACAGTGTAGAGACAATTTTAGAAGTGAAAAGATTTTCAGGAATAGAAAGAGTTTTCAGGAAGATGCTAGAGGTGAAAACAGTCTTGAAGTCAATTCTGAAAAGAACAGACATACAGTCACACAAACTTAGAGTGCTCAGACTCACAATCACTCACCAATCAACTTTACAAACAGGGTTCAAGGGGGTTGAGAACATAGAGAGTTCAAACACATAAACAGAGTCTAGGGGAGCATATGGAGCAACAACTGTACAGAACAAACAGGAATCTACTAGTTCAGAGACTTAACAAGTTAGTCATGATAAGAAGCAACTAAGACATAGGCATAGAATGTAGTGAAATAGTCATGTTGAAGACAAAGTGCATACTAATTAGGATCAACCAAGTACATTAGACAACTAAGTTATCAACATGATCACACCAATTAAAGAGAGTAAACAGAGACTAAATAAACATGTTGGCCAAGTATCAAACATATAAGTGAGACCCAGACATACTGATTGCACATTTGAACAAAAGAGGACAGCATTTAGACATGCTGAGTAAAGCAGTAAACAGGAAGATAAAAGTAAATACATAGCAAATCGAACTAGTGCAAAACATGGAACACATAGAGTTTGAGTTTCAGAATTGAACTGGAGACATACCAGTTAGAGAAGCAAAGTGCAGAATGTAAAGCAAGTGTAATTCCACTGTCTAGCCTTGGCTTTCAACCTGCTAGACCAACAGTTAGCACAAGTAACAGAGAAAGAAGAGAGAGTTTGAGTGTGAGTGTGTGTTTTCTGAACTTTGTTCCGTGTTTTGAGAGGTAGAATAAGAGTGTTTATATAGCAATATAGGAGTGGAACAAACAAGGTAAAGGAATCATCATTCAGTCAATTAAGAAAGTCACAGAATCCAATCACATAAAGGGGTGCAGATAAGACTCCTTTAATCAAGGGTAATTGATCAAACGGTAATAACAGGGGACTAATTAAGGAAAGAATCCCAATTATACCATGTAAAGGAATCAGTAAGAATCTACAATTATATAGGCCATCAAATAAGGCAGGGATGACCAATTAAGGTCGTAAACAAGGAAACAACAAGAATTATGCACACAAATCTCTACTAGAGCAAATCAATCAACCAAACTTTCAAAAATAGTACTGATTTCTGGAAAGAGATATCAACTTCCATAAATAGAAAAAATGGACTAAGTAAAACATCACAGAAACATAGAAATTAGTCGAAAACACAGATTCTAGCCCTAATAGAGATTTATTA